TGCCTTGGGAGCCCTTTGATCACCGCGAAACAGCAGGCGTGGCATTTCGGCACCCCAAGGAGGAGGGAGCCGGCAGGGCCCGTTCGCGCCCAGATTGTGTGGATGCCCCCAGCGAGGCGCGTCAATGGAATCCCCGACTCCTCTGCTCTGAGAGCTCCGTGCTCACCACGACGTAGCAGGCGTGGCACTTGGGCCACCAGAGGATGCAGGACGCTTGCCTCTTCGCGGCCAGACTGAGGGGACGTCTCGAGCGAACGCTGGTTTGGGCTTCCCCGGCTCCTCTGTTTTGGTAGCCCCGTGGTCACCGCGACGTAGCAGGTATAACCCTTGGGCGCTCCAGGGGGAAGCCGCCAGGGGTAGGACGCTTGCCCGCTGGCGCCCAGCAATGTGGGGATGCCGCAAGCGAAGCGCTAGTCCTCCACCCCAGAACTCCGCTGTTTTTATTTTTTGTGTGTATTGTTGAATCGACCAGTGATGACCGCCATGTAGTAGGCATAGCACTATGGCGCCCCATGGGGGAGCCGCCAGGGGGTGGTACACTGTCCCGTTTGCTTTCAGATTGTCGAGATGTCTGGAGGGAGACACGCTCGTTCAGGCCCCAACGACTCCTCTGTCTTGATCGCTTTATGATCACCTCGTTGTAGCAGGCGTGGCACTTGGACACCCCAAGGGGAAGCCGCCAAGGGGTGTTACTTTTGCCCGTTCGCGATCAGATTGCGGGGATGCCTTTAGCGAAACGCTCGTGTGCCCCCCCCGCCCTCCCCGACTCCACTCACTGGAGAGCCCCACGACCACCGTAAGTAACGTGGTAGGCGTTGACGCTTGGGCACCACATAGGGGAGTCGCCAGGGAGTGTTACACTGCCCGTTCGCGCCGCGATTGCGGAGATGTCTTGAGACAAACGCTCGTGTGTCCCCCCCTCCATGACTCCTCTCTCTGGAGAGCCGAGAGCCCCATCATCCCTGTAATGTAGCAGGCGTTGCGCTTGGGCACCAAATTGGAGAGTCGCTAGGGGGTGTGACACTTGCCCGTGCGCGCCCAGGTTGCGGAGATGCCTGGAGAGAAACGCTTGCTTGCCCCGACACCTCCGCTTTGAGAGACCCGTGCTCACCGCGATGTAGCAGGCATAGCACTTGGGCACCCCAAAGAGGAGCTGCCGCGGGGTGTTGCACTTGCCCGTTCGCGCCCAGCGGGGATGTCTCGAGCGAGGCACTGGTTGTACCTTCCCCCACTCTTTTCGCTTGAGACTCCCACGATACATGCGATGTAGCAGGCATAGAACTTGACCACACCAACGGTGATCTGCCAGGGGAGACACTGCCCTGCCCAGACTCAATCACAATCACGCCCATTTGTAGTCAGCCAGCCCTCGCCAATTCTTCTCGCGCTCAGACTTGCCCGTTTCAGACACTCATGGAACGTGGACTTGCCTGAACAGAAAGCGTGCAGAGATTTCGAGGACCCAGCCCCGAATCCGTGTGTAGCTGCTCTGCCTCCCAGAGGACGACGAGGGCAGCCTCAACTCCCAGAACTTCCAGGAGTGCGAGGACGAGGACGAGGACGAAGGCCTGGGCGGCAGGCACGCGCCGCCCCTGGAGGGCATCACCGAGGACCCAGGGCCCGGAAGAGAGGGGGGGGGGGGATCGGGCGGGGCGAGCCTCGATCTCGGAGAGATCGCGGCCTTTGCTCGAGGAACTCACCTCACGACACGAGCACGTACGCGCTGGTCGTTGGAGGTAGGTACTTCTGGATCCCCCGGATCCCAATCTGCTCCAGGCGCCTTCCTGCGTCAGGAATCGGCACGCTTTTGCTGCGTGTCTGTTCATTCTCTGGGAGGACCTGGGCCCAATCTACAGTGGAGACCCATGCCAGGAAACACCCTGCTTGCCTCCAGGATGCCCTGGGTTTTGCGATGGACAGCGCGACGCTCCCACAACAAAAAGCAATGGACGTCCTGGGGTTTCAGGGTTGGGTTTCTTGTGACAGGTTTCTTGTGGATTAGCCTCCACTGTACTACATCCCCTTCCTACTTCATGTTTCGACCTACTTCTTCCGACCGACGTGTACTGTCGGAGGTCCGCGAGGCCTGCGCGGGACCACCCCGGCGGCGCCTCTGGCGCCGCCCCCCCTGGTGCGCAGAGATGCCGCCGCGCCTCCGTGCGGGGCCCGTCGCGCGTGAGGGGGGGGAGCGCCGCGGAGGCGTCCAGAGACCCTCGTGGTGAGGAGGAGGGGGAGGAGGAGGAGGAGGAGGAGGAGGAGGAGAAGGGAGGAGGTGGAGCAGGAGGAGGAGAAGGGGGAGGAGGAGGAGGAGGAGGAGGAGGAGGGGGGGAAGGAAAAAAGAAGGGAGGAGCAGGAGGAATGGGGAGGAGGAGGAGGAGGAGCAGGAGGATGAGGGAGGAGGACCAGAAGGAGGAGAAGGGAGGAGAAGGGAGGAGGAGGAGGAGGAGGAGGAGGGGAGAGAATGCAGAGGAGGACGGAGGGGAGGAGGAGGAGGAGGAGGAGGAGGAGGAGCAGGAGGAGGAGAAGGGGGAGGAGATAGGGAGGAGCGGAGGAGCGGGGAGAGGAGGAAGGAGGAGAGGAGGAGGAGGGAGGAGCAGGAGAGGAGGAGGAAGCAGGATGAGGAGGATGAGGAGGAGAAGGGAGGAGGCGAGGAGGCAGGAGGAGGAGGAGGAGGAGCAGGAAGCGGAGAAGGGAGGAGGAGGAGGAGACGACCGACGACGATAGGGGGGAAGGAGGAGAAGGGAGGAGGAGGAGGAGGAGGAGGAGGAGGAGGAGGAGAGTCGTAGGAGGAGGAGGAGGAGGAGGAGGAGGAGGAGGAGGAGGAGGAGCAGGAGGAGGATGAAGGAGGAGGGGTAGGAGGAGAGGGAGGAGGAGGTAGGAGGAGGACGGAGGCAGGATGAGGAGGAGGAGGAGGACAAGGGAGGAGGACGAGGAGGAGGAGGAGGAGGAGCAGGAAGAGGAGAAGGGAGGAGGAGGAGGAGGAGGAGGAGGAGGACGACGACGACGACGACGATTAGGGGGGAAGGAAGAGATTGGCGCTCCGTTGCCGCCTCTGCTCTCGCGCCCCTTCCCCAGAGCACCCCCTCGCGGCGGCCGAGAGAGCGAGAGCACGAGAGCTTCCCAGACATCCGGCCGCTCCAGTTTGGTCGATGCCTGGGCCCTGGCGTCGGCACGAACGAAATGGGCACGGAACGAATGGGTACAATGCCCAACAGCAGCTCCTGTTCACTTTGAACAGGGCTCGCCTGTCGGTGTCGCCGCGGCCTGTGTCCACTTGAGACAGAAAGCCGCCTGCCCAACAGCGGCCGCTGTTGGTTTGGGGCATCATTTGCTGTTGGGCATTGTCGTCGTCACCTCCGGCTTCCCCTGCCGCGACCGTTCCCCTTTTTCTGACTTGCGCCGTGTTTGCCTGCCTCGCATGTGTTCTGCATCATGCCGTTACTGACACCTCAGGCGTCTCGCCCCCACGGCTTGCCTAAGAAAAACAAATGCCGTTGGGCATTGTACCCAGGGCCATTCTTTCCGTACCCATTTCGGGCGTGCAAACGGCGGTCTGGCACCACTCTCCTATACAGTCGGGGCCCTGAAGAAGGAACCCTTTTGGTTGGGGAGGGGCTCCGCGATCCTTAAGTGTTTCACAGCTTGCCTCAGGTTTTCTTTATGTTTTCGACAGGAATTCGAAGTTTAACTTATGGAAAAATGGGCCTCGTTTCTTATTTAGGGTTCCTTAGATCAACGCCCCGACTGTATAGGGCCGGTTTTTCGTCCGGAGTCGTTGTGTTGGCAGTCCCAGTCCCGAGGCTTGGGCGAGGGAGCCTGGAGGCCGGAAGCAGCCGAGCGGGGGCGGAGGGTTCTAAACCCTCCGCGCCAGTGTTTGTCGGAGCGTCGAGTCTCCGGAGTATGGGGCTGCTGCGGTGAGGTCCGCTGCTTTGGCGCACGGGCGCGCTCTAGCAAGGGGCCTCGCGCCCTCCTTAGGCCCTGTCGAGACATGGAGAGATCAGACATCACGGCGGGAGGTTTTCTTAGTTTTTGGCCTCTGGGGGCCCCCACTGGTCGACGCAGTATCCCTGACACCCATTAACTGCAACATCTGCGTGCAAATACTTGACGTACAAATCGCCAACCTGACGGCTCTCGGCACGAACCATGGAAAAAACACGGCGGGAGGTTCTCTTAGTTTTCGGCCTTTGGGGGCCCTTACTGCTCCTCGGGACCGTCAAAAAACGACCCAGGATGAAAAGCCGGTCATGTGGAATGAGTCGAGACCTCTGGGGGTCGAAGTCATGAAAAAAACATGGCGTCGCAATTCCGTCTTTGTGATGCGCTAGCGTCGATAAGCGTTTGGTAGTCGACGCGATAGCGCCAGTTTAGCGTCGATAAGTGTCGACTGGCGTTGATGTGCGTCGACTTAGCGTCGATTTTCGTCGAGTCGCAAGAGCCAAGAGCATGGTATGGGAGGCTCCCATGAGCTGCCACCGAAGGGGCCTCCTCGGGGGAAGCCGGCGGAAGGCCGGCGGGTGCTGGCGGAAGCAGCAGGGCTTGGGCTCGGCCCGCGGAAGGGCGGCGGAGGGCGGCGGAAGGAGACGCTGCGCCCCCAAGGGATGCCAAGCTTTGTTTGGCCCGGGGCTTCTGGAACAAGCCACCTCGTGAGGGCTTGGGTGCCTTGGGGCATCCAGGCGCAGGGGGGCCCAGGGGGCGGCACGAGGCGGGAAGCGCTCTCGGTGCGCGGGCCGCTGCGGTGAGCCTTGCTGGGCGTATGGTCCGAGACGGCCTCGGGCGTCGGCGCCTTCCAAGGGGGAAAGCGGTGACAGTAAGTGCTTCCGAGGCGCGGGCCCTCGCGGCAGGGCCTCCGACGACGACGACGACGACGACGACGACGACGACGACGACGACGACGACGACGAGGCCCTCGACGACGACGACGAGGCCCTCTGACAGGCACCTCCCTGCCGCAGGGCAGCTCGGATGCTGCCGGCCAGTTCGCGCGCGCGCGCGCCCGCAGCCGTTAGGGGCCCGAGCTCTCTGGCCCGGTGCACCGCCGGGCGCAGGCGAGGGCAGCGCCGTGCCCCGCGTGGCCAGCCCCTGCCGAGCACAGCCCCCGCCCGCCCCGCCAGCCTCGGGACGGCACCCCCGCCCCGCCAGCAGCCATGGTGCGCCCGAGGCCGGGCTGCAGGGCTCTGGCGCTCCTGCTCGTGGGCGCCAGGCAGGCCTGGGCCCAGATCAGGGTCATGTCTCCGCGGTCGCTCGTGAGCAGCCTGGGCGACCACGGCAGGATCGTGGGCTCCACCGCCACCTTCGGCGCGCCGTACTTCGGCCAGCGGGTCCTCGGCAAGCTGGTGTACGTGGAGGATCACGCCACGGCCCCGCACTGCACCAAGGACTACGCCCTGGACTTCTGTGCGGAGTCCACGCAGCAGGCCGCGCAGGACGGGCTCGCGGAGGGCGAGGCGAAGCTGATCAACATCTTTGTGATTCGCCGCGGGGGCTGCTCGTTCGTGACGAAGGTCAAGGTTGCGGCAGCGAAGTGCGCGCACGCGGCGATCATAGTCGACAGGGCGGACTCCAATCTCACGGCCGAGGACTTGAAGCACATCGTTGTGGCGGATGACGGGTACGGTGGGAGTGTCGAGATCCCGTCGGTGCTCATCTCCAGGGTCCAGGGCCAGAAGTTGATCGACGCGCTGAAGGATGAAGAGAGCATAGTGGCGGAATTGGCTTGGGATATTCCCACCGACCGTGTCGTGAACGTGGACATGTGGATCAGTTCTGCATCAAGGGAGAGCCTCAGGTTTCTGAAAGAGTTCTCGCCAAAGCGGAGGGTGCTCAATTCTGTCATGAGTTTCACGCCGCATTATGCGATCTTCATGATGGATAAGGGAGATCCAGCCTTGTTCAACGATCTCTGCGTGCAAGATGGCCAGTACTGCGCAGAGGATCCTGATGGCGCAGGTCCCGTGACGGGCACCGATGTGATCGCTGAGGACGTACGCCAGCTCTGCATCCACGAACTATACAAAAAGGTGAGCAACGAGGGCCGCGTCCAGTTCTCCCGCGAGTTTTGGGACTACATGGAGCAGCTCGGGGACGCGTGCCCCGTGGATGGGACTGGGGAGAACATGTTCGGCTACAAGTGCTCGGTCAATCTCATGCGGAAGATTGGCATCAACTCTGACGACGTCAACGAGTGCGCGAGCAGAACCACGGGGGATAAGCTCAAGGATCAGCGGGATCACCCCGCCTGGTCCCCACGCGCCGTGCGCATCAACGGCTGGCGCTACACGGGCATGCTGGACCCAGACCTGGTAACGCGCGCCATCTGCTCCGGCTTCATCACGGCGCCCGACGAGTGCGACAAGCTGCTGAACCCGCGCGACCCGTTCGGGGTGCTCCACCCCATGGGGCTGAAGGGCGGGGTCACCTTCGGCCAGATGGTCGGCTGGATGGTCGTGACCCTGCTGGTGGCGTTCGGGGCCCTGCTGCTGTACAAGCGGTACCTGAAGAATGAGATGCGGATAACCCTGAGGGAAGAGGTCAGGGCTGGACCTAAGCAGTGTTTTCGGGGATTCCGTGGGCCGTTTTCGTTTCGACTTCGTTTTGCGGCAGAGGCGGATTCGAGACAAGAGCGAGGGAGAACAATAACAAAACGGAGCCGAAACAAAAACACCGTTGAGGTTCAGCCCCGGAAGAGGTGATGCTGGAGGTGCGGAGCGCGATGGGCGAGTACCGGCAGATGCAGGGCTGACCTGGGCGGCGGGCCCCTGCGCCTGCCAGGGGCCAGCCGGCGACCTGATGCTGCCCATCCGCGGCCCCAGAGCTCTCGGCCCCTTTCCCAGGCCAGCCGCAGCTGGGGGAGCTGTGGTCCTTGCCCCCCTGGGGGACCCATCGATTTCGACACCCCTCTCGAGAGATCGTCGATGCGATGGGTTCCCCCAGGGGGGAAGGACCACAGCTCCCCCAGTCGTGGCTGGTCGGCTTCCCCACCCAGATCATGGGATACAGTTTCTGTTGTCTCAGTCGCGATCGGTGGCGACCGAGATCGGCACTTGACAAGTCGGTCGCGGCCGATCGCGACTCGTCGGTCGCCACCGATCGGTCGCGACGAGTTCTGAAGCGAACTGGTGGCGGCTGACACGACCAGAAAGTTCAGGCACCAAATGATCAGGGCAGGGTTAGTTTAGCGTCCCGGATGTACGTTTTGGTGGTCCCAGGGCCCAATTCGGGGAGCCCCAGACGGTGCGGTGACCACTCCGTGTGGGGTTTCGGGGTCACCGCGCGGTTCTGAGACTCGGGTCGCTCTCCGAGGACGTCGCGGACGACCGGGGCCTCCCAGGCTCCAGAAACCGTGTGGTCACCGACCGTGCGGTGAGGTCTTCTGGGAGTTCGAGGTCACCGCACGGTCCGTCACCGCACCGCTTTAGGGCCTCGAACTGCTAACGGGCCCCAGAGGCCGAAGTCGAGGAAAGACGGTGGGATTGAAAAAACAGATCGTCGGGAACCTGGTCGTCGGGCCCTCCAGACATCCTCCGTCGTGATTTCTTCGCCTCGTGGCTCTAGAATAGCTCTTTGACTGAACCTGGGGCTGGGCGAGGGCCCCATGAAGCCGAAAATTCGCAAACACCCTCTATTTTTTCGCATTGAGGGAACGCCTTTTGGTGTTCGGATCGTAGCTCGTCCCTCCGATGGCCGTTTGGGACGATCCGGGCCCCCCCCTGGGATGCCCTCGGCGAGGCGAAGCTGCTGGAAGGCATCCCGAGGATGGAGAGCCGCCGAGAACCGACGAAGTTCAAGGTCAAGGTCAAGCCTGTATGCCCGCGAAGGGGCGGCCGCTTAGGGCACAGGCGGATGAAACCTAGCAGGCGCTCATGTGGTGAAGGACATCTCCAGTCATGCACTTCCGAGAACGTGCGCCTCTCGTACTCGTCACCGATCCCGTACTCGTCGCAGAAGCTCTGAACAAACCCGAAGACCTCGAGCCTCGAAGCAGCGGCCCTCCGTCGCGGCTTTCTCGCCGCGGGAGGAGGAGGAGGAGGAGGAGGAGGGGGAGGAGGAGGTAGGGGAAGGAGGAGGAGGAGGAGGAGGAGGAGGAGGAGGAGGAGAAGGAGGAGGAGGAGGAGGGGGGAGGAGGAGGAGGAGGGAGGAGGAGGAGGGGAGGAGATGGAGGGGGAGGAGGACGGGACGTAGGAGGGGGACAGGGCAGCCCCTCTCTCGCGGCCTCTCCGCCCCGCGGGGGGGTGCCGCCGGGCCCCCTGCGGTGCAGCCCGCGGGAGACCCCCCGCCCCACCCAGAATTGACGCGGCAACGTTGGTTGCGGGCCACAGACGCTGCATGCCCTGATCGGCCGGCGCGGGAGAGAAGTGAGGGCATCGGGGATCTTCTCGGGCCAGATGAAAGGGGGGGATTGGGAAAGGGGGGGGTACGAAATTTGCTGCATGCAGCTGGTTTCGGCCTCACCGAGGGGCCCATTCCTCGATACATCGCCGCCTCCGGCGCCGGGAGGCGCCGGGAAAATCAGCTACACCCTCCCTTTGCTATCCCCCCCTTTCGCCCGAACCGATGCATGCCCTGATCGGCCGGCGCGGGAGAGAAGTGAGGGCATCGGGGGATCTTCTGACACGGATCACGGATCGAATCCAGACCCGGGTCAGCAGGAAGCCGAGCAATTGCAATGCAGGACAAGCAGAAATTGCCACGCAAGTCATCGCCAACCCGGGTCAACCGATATGCGCGGCCGCCTCGCGGCCACGAGCGGCTCGCTAACCCAGGTCAGCCAGAGGGGGTCTTCGCAAGATCCTGCAAGATCCGGTGCCCTGGCTGACCCCCGTTTGCATTGACCCCCGTCTCAAGGCTCCCGAGACCAGGAAGATGTACCGTTACCGCTACGTACCCCTCCCCAGGCTTCGGGTGGATTGACTGCTTCAACCCTGGCGTCTCGTCTGGATCTTGGCCTCCCGGGGCCACTTTCGGGCCCCAGGGTGAAAAAATAACCCAGGACGCAAAGCTGCCCCGGAAGTGGCAGAGACCCCTTGGGGACCGCGGACTGAAAAACACAGTCTCTCGGATGCCCGGCCCCCTCGTTTTCGCCTTCTCGGGGCCTCCCGGGATACCCTCATCGTCAACGTTGGATTCGCCTCGACATCCTGTTCAAAGCGCACCGGGGAAGAGGTCCGAGGAGTAGCGGTACCGTCTGGCTTCCTAAGGGAAGGGCGCCGACACGCCCACGCGCACGCGCACCTTCCCCTCTCGCCACGGAGCAAGCGGGTGCTGAGGGAAAAGAGTCTTCCCTGAGGTCCTGACGCTGTGTCTTTTCACGACGGGCGAGTTCGCCTTGCTTGGGGCCCTGGGACCCTCGCGGATCGGTCCGACTGGAAGAAGGCCGCAGAGAGATTGCGTCCAGGGCTACGGCTGAGTGGAGCTGTTTGCCACAATGTTGCATTTTTCGTGGCGTCGGGTCTCAGGGAAGGGCGTTGGCACGCCCACGCGCACCCACCCCTTTGCCCTCTTTCACCATGCAGCACCTGAGTCCTGAGGGCCCTGGGGCCCCCAGACCCTCAAACAACGACTCGGGATGAAGTCCTGGTCCTGGGGAAATTGCCCCAGGGTCCAGGACCCGTTTCCCTCAGGACCCGCTTGCTTCTCTTCAGACTCCTTTGTCGCCCCCCCCCCCCCCCCTACTCGCTGTTCCCCCCCCTCCCCCTCTCCCCCCCATGCCTGCCTCTGCCTTTCCCACCCGCGCCGCCCGCGGCTTCCCTCTCCCGCCCCCGACGCTCGCACTGTTCTGTACTTCTCTTCCCAGCACGGGCCCCGAAGGGAGTCTCGACCGCTTCCCCCGGGGCCAGATTCCCCCAGCCATGCCTGCGCCGTGAAGCAATCATGACGGAGGCCTTCTCGCCATGATCGGCCCCTGGCCCCTGGGAGGCCCTTATACTGGGCCCCGGGACTATCATCAAGACACCGCTGCAGGATGAAACAAAAACGGTCACGGTCCTGGGGAAAGGGTCGGGACTTCCAGGGGCCGTGCATGCACAAAAGCCAGGACATCCCACGTCTGGGTTTCCATCCCGAGTTGGTTTTTTGGAGGGCCCCTGGGCCGGGAGGCGATATCCAGACGCCGAAGACGTCCGAAAGCCCGCCGCCACGACATTGTTGTTGCGTCGCCTGGGCCTGCGGCCGGGGGGGCTCCCAGCGTATCGCTTCCCGCGGCTCCTCTCCATAAACATTCTCCGATGTGCTTTTCCAGCCCGCGGGCACAGAGCTCCCTGCCCAGGGGGGGGGAATGGGGGGGTCGGAGGCCTAGAGGTTGACACCAACACCAATATCGGCGGTGTTTCTCCACCGAGGGACGAAGATTCCCATCTCGGTGATGGTGGTACTATTCTGGCTTCTAAGCTGACCGAAGTATTACCACCAATGCCGAAATCTAGGATCATCTTCCCCCCTGTGGAGGCAACCCCCTGCGTTGGTGTTGGTGCCCATTTCCAGGCCTCCAGGTGTAGGTGGGGGGGGGGGGGGGGGGGGCAATTTTGCGCCCAGGGCCCGCTTTCCGCGGGCCCCCAGGGCCCGGAAGCGGCCCCAGGAGGCCGCGACGAAGCGGAACCGCCGCGGCGGAGCACGACAGCGTCGGAGGCACAATGGGCCCGCCCGCGGCCTTGCGGCTCCCCCTCCCGCCTCCCTTGCGCGGCGGTCCCCGCTGGCGGCCTGCGCCTCCATGACTCCCTCGGGGATCCCCAAGCGGTGCGGTGAGCACACCGCGTAGTGAGCGAGTGGGGATCCGGGGTGACTGCAAGGTTTTGGGATGTGAATCTCTCCCCGAGGATGAGTCGGGCGACGGTGGCCTCCAGGGTCTCAAAACCGTGAGGGGAAGGACCGTGCGATGAGCGCAGCACGCTACTGATGTCATCGTGGGCCCTGTCCCAGGCTCCTGCGTCGGCCTTTTAAGGCGATCGTTTTTGGATGGGCTTTCGAGGCCACCGCACGGTCTGACACCGCACCGTTTTGGTCGGGGGCGTCCAAGAGGGGATGTGATGATTACTAGGGTGTGTGTGTGTGGATACCATTGCCGGGGCCATGACTTCTCCCCAGATGGCATGGCCCCTCCTCTGATTTCAATACGCTCTCTCCCCCCCCTGCGGTCCGCGCACGTGCCCTGGGCCACGATCTGCGACCTCCCCCTTGGGATGCCCCCGTCTTGGGTCCCCCGACCTCTCCACCAGCGCCGCGCACCACCCCCCCGCTGGAGGAGGACGAGGACATGGTCGCCGACGGCCGCGACTCCCCCCGCGCGCGGGGCGAGGGCAGCGGCTGGAGTGCGAGGAGCCTCCTCCGCCGACCCCCCCGAGGTCATGAAACTTATGTTGGCGAAGGACCCAACCATATGCAGTTGTGAGTAATGCGTTGTGCGTGCCGCTTTCTGTAGAGTTTCCTATAGGGCCACGAGCCGCATGAGTGACGTGCCGTAATGGGTGGGGGGACGCATGTGGGCGGTGCCTTGGGGCCCTTCGGTGGGGCTTCTTATGGGCCGCGAGACGCTATAGTGGGCGTGGCGGACGCATGCGGGTGGTGCCCTTCGCTGGAGCTCCCGATGAGGCCACGAAACGCTGTACGGGTTGGGGGAGACGCACGCGGGCGGTGCCACTGGGGTCTTTCTGTAATGCTGTACTGGGTAGTGGCCGACGCATGCGGGCGGTGCCAGTGGGGGCTTCGGTGGGGCTCCTTATGGGGCCACGGAGCGTTGTACTGGGAGGGGGGGGCGCATGCGGGCGGTGCCACTGTGACTTTCGGTAGAGCTCCCTATGGGCCCACGAAACGCTGCACTGGGTGGGGGGTCGCATGCGGGCGGACCACTGGAGCTCCCTACGGGGCCACGAAACGCTGTACCAGGTGGGGGGGACGCATGCGGGCGGTGCCATTGTGGCTTGGTGGAGCTCCCAATCAATAGGGCCGCGAAGTGGAGTTCTGGGTGGTGGACGACGCATGCGGGCGGTGCCACTGGGGTCTTTCTGTCTAGCTCTCTATGGGGCCACGAAGCGCTGTACTGGATGGTGGTTGGCGCATGCGGGCGGTCCCATTGGGACCTTCGGTGGAGTTCACTATGGGGCCACGAAACGCTGTACAGGGTGGGTGAAACGCAGGGAGGGAGGGCTGTGCTGGGTGGTGGTTGACGCATGCGGGCGGTCCCACCGGGACCTTCGTTGGAGTCCCCCACGGGGCCACGAAGCGCTGTACTGGGATAGGGGCCTCGAAGCGTTGTGCTGGGTGGTGACTGACGCATGCGGGCGATCCCACTGGGGCCTTCGGTGGAGCTCTTGATGGAACCGCAGGGAGGAAGGCCTGTGCTGGGTGGTGGTTGACGCATGCGGGCGATCCCACTGGGACCTTCGGTGGAGCTCCCTATGGGGCTTCGAAACGCTGTACTGGGTGGGTAAACGCAGGGAGGGAGGGCTGTGCTGGGCGGTGGTTGACGCATGCGGGCGGTCCCACTGGGATTTTCGGTGGAGCTCCCTATGGGGCCACGAAGCGCTGTAGTGGGTGGTTGGAACGCAGGGATGAAGGGCTGTGCTGGGTGGTGGCTGGCGCATGCGGGCGGTCTCACTGGGACCTTCGGTGGAGCTCCCTGTGGGGCCTCGAAACGCTGTACCGGGTGGGTGAAGCGCAGGGAGGAAAGAGCTATGCTGGGTGGTGGTTGACGCATGCAGGCGGTCCCATTGGGACTTTCGGTGGAGCTCTCTATGGGACTACGATTCGCTGTACAGGGTGGGTGGAACGCAGGGGGCAAGCGTTGTGCTGGGTGGTGGCTGACGCATGCGGGCGGTCCCACTGGGACCTTCGATGGAGCTCCCTGTGGGGCCACGAAGCGCTGTACTGGGTGGGTGGAACGCAGGGAAAAAGGGCTGTGCTGGGTGCTTGTTGACCCATACGGGCGGTCCCACTGGGACGTTCGGTGGAGGGGCCTCGAAACGTTGTAGTAGGTGGGTGAAGCGCAGGGAGGAAGGGCTGTGTTGGGTGGTGGTTGTTGGCGCATGCGGGCGGTCCCACTGGAACTTTCGGTGGAGCTCCCTATGTGGCCACGAAGCGTTGTAGTGGGTGGTTGGAACGCTGGGAGGGAGCGGTGCGACTGGTGGTGGTTGACGCATGCGGGCGGTCCCACTGGGACCTTCGGTGGAGCTCCCTGAAGCGCTGTACTGGGTGGGTGAAACGCAGGGAGGAGGGAGGAGGGGAAGGAGGGAGGAGGGAGGAGGAAGGAGCGCGGGGACCGTCTGTTCAAAACGAGGACCCAACACCACAGGATGGTTGGGAAAAAGCTCGACTGGCGGCGTTTCGCTGTTTTCGGACTCTTGGGGCCTTCACTGGGCCTCGGGACCGTCCAAGAACGACTCGAGATGAAAAGCGGAGGAGGAGAAGAAGGAGGAGGAGGAGGAGGACGAGGAGGAGGAGGACGAGGAGGAGGAGAAGGAGGAGGAGGAGGGGATCAGCACGTGGTTGGGGGACGGAAGGTCTATCCGCCCTATTGCCTGCCATCTCGCTGTTGAGATGAGGCTGCTACTCTGGCTGCTTCTGCGGCTATAAGATCTCTGAGCTTGACAGGGCTCTGAAAACAAGTTGGGTCCGGACTTGGGGTGTTTCCCAGCGCACAGCAGTCGCCACTGGGTCCTATCACCGTCCCTCCTGAAGCCTTGGCAGCCCACTTTGAGCTTCTTGACATTAGATTCACTGTACTTGCCGCAGCCAGAGCACATCATGATGAAGTTCAATTTTTTCTTGTCGGGCAACATAAAATGTGTGGCCCTGGGGATTTTCAGCTATCTGAGACATCTGTAAATGATAGCTTCGACATGGCTCATCTTTGCGAGTCTAATAAATTCTGTCAGAGCATCGGGCCCTGCATGTCGAGCACAGCCACTTGTTGGATCTGCTATTCCACTCCCAAGGGTGGCCAGAAATTTGGGGCCGCGGGACCACAGGAGCTGGCGGAGGAGGGGTCTCGCCAGTCCACACAACCCGAGCGCTGGCTGCACCCGCCACTATGGGCTGGGCAACCGCCTTGTCCCGAGAGGAAAACTTCTTCTTGCTGGCTTTAGGTCCAACTGGCTCCCACAAACTTAAAGCACAAGCAACGTAACGCAACCACTTGGCCAGCAAGGGTCTGTCCATGGTGGCTTCCTCAAGCTCATTATTCGAGGGACGTTGCAACATCTGAGCTCCTAACTTAGCAAACTTGTCGGCGAAATCGTTGCCAGTGGCTCTCAGCCACTCGTCGGTCCCT